CCAAACATGCTGTTCTCTACTGGGGGCCTTAGAAAAACTTCCAAGGTTGCTGCAAAGCATCTTATTATGTATAATTGTTAAAATTATTTAACAAATAGAAAATTCAGGACTTGACTCTCCGCTGAGTTTACAGCAGATTTTTTTTTTTACCTTTGCAAACAAAACTGACACGTTTAATTCATGATTATTATTATTATTATTATATTAGGCTACTTTTCTTTAAAAATGTTTTGGTAACAGAACTTTTCCAGGATCAATAAAACAACTTTGTGAACTATGAAGAAAAAACCTTGTCAGTTCATTATTTTAACATATTACTATTAAAAAAATTGAAAATATGGCACCTCGTCATTTTAGCAGAAGTACAAAAGGAAGAGCCCCTAGGCTATATAGGGGGCCCTTTAAATGTTAACTTTGACAATAGGGGTCCTTGGATTACAAAGGCTGAGAACTACAGACACTGAGGGGCTGAAATTCAAGCTGATGTTTACTGATCATTAAGCTTACTTGGGTGTGCATGATAAAACATACAAGACTTTGATATTTTACTATTGCTCAAGGGCGCAGTGGGGATAGAGCAGAACTGTGATTTCACTATCTCTATTTCCAGAATTAATTAACCTTTAGTTGAGCAGCCCACATTCACAACCTCAGCCATCAGATAAGAATACTGAGGTCTGATTCATTACTCCCTGAAGAGTTTTTAAATGTGCTTTAATGTATATGACAAAAAAAGATATGCAGATCTTTACAATACAGTGTACTTTTTAATGCAGTAGGCCTATATATAATGCATCCCTGAAAGTCTCCATACAGGATCAATATCAAATTATAAGTCAATGTGAGCAGTGCACGTTGTTCTGTTACGTCACACAACTTGTCGAGAAAAGATTTGACTTTCAATATGCACTTTCACTCATTTTAATTAAGGTTGCTCTGGCTAACATTTGATAGTGATAAATGTAGCGCACCCCACAAGGATTAGACGTCAAGAGTCATTTGTAAGAAAGCAAGTCTTCATTAGAATCTGCCGGTGTTCTCGAAGTCACGTCATATAGTACTGCGGGTGATATTAGCTTGCAGATGTTTGTCATCTGTAGACCGCAGCTGTTCATGTGAAAGACTCTCAGTGGTACCTGCCTTACCGCTTTTTCCTATATGTAGCCTACCTCCCCTGATTGCAAGCAAATGCGCAAGACAAACCCTAAGCCCCGCAGCTTTCACTGATGACTCCTTCGCCAACCCATTAATTCTCTTAAAGTCACTTTTCCATGTCCTCAGTTCTCACAGTGGGACACTTTGCATGCACTCAGGGGCCGCATCGTAGTCTGGCCGTGAGCTTTTAGACTTGCTTACGCACACAGAGCATGAGTAATATCGTTTCCCCGCGAGTGCACCACCACATCACTGCAACGGAATTTCCCCATCTTATTTCATATGAAAAAGAGGCAGAGCGAAGAAAGCTCTTGGATCTTCTTATTCAGTCGTAAAACACCAAATTTTACCCATGCGCAAAACCTCGAACCCACTCCGAGTTATCAGGAAACGTGTGCGGAGAAGTTGTTTTTGTCAGTTTCGCTGTAATCTGCTACCGCTATTTGACACCTTTTTATGTGTGCTTCTTTGTTCAATTTTGTCAGGTTCAGCCCTTTGTTTGAAATCCGAATTCTGGAACAGAGATGTCGCACAATGTGTACCTTGTCAAATATGCAAACAGTATCCGAAAACTCCATCATGTGACACATGTGAGTATATTCGATCTAAATTAAGATTATAATTGGTCTGACTCTGAATAGTAGTGATGGCTCGTTCATGAACACACTAAGAAAAAAAAGGTACAAAAAGCTGTCACTAAGGCGGTACCCTAAGGTACAAAAACTAAAGGTAGCCTACCAATTTGTACCTTATTTGCCCCTATTAGTAGGCTTACTTGGCTACCATAAGGTACACATTAGTTGGCATACTTTAAAAGTACATATTATTAACCTACCTGCAGTATACATAGGCTATTTGAAAAGGGTGACACCCCATTTACGGTTTTGTCTTTTTTCTTTCTTTTTTCAAGTTGCAGTAGCGACTGGGGAGGTAAATAGGCTTAATCATTCATTTAAATTTGGTTTATGGAAGCCTGTTTCCACCATAGAATGAAAACTAAAAAAGTAATTGTGACTGTTTATCTCACTTTTTGTCTCAGAATTGCAAGAAACAAAGTCTGAATTGTGAGATATAAATCAGAACTGTGAGATAAAAAGTTGCAAACATCTTTTATTTATTTATTTTCGTGGTGGAAGCAGGGTCACATTAAAATTTCCTAATTTCTACTATTTTCAAAAATGGGGAATTTCGCTACTGAAAAATTATTTGAATTTAGATCCACGTGAATGGGATAACTTGAATAAAAATTAGTTCATTTTGCCGAACAAGATACAAAGATCCAAGTCATTAAAATGGTACGATATTCCCAAACTGAATAAGGTTAAACACTCATGAGAATGCATTGTAAGTAGATTCTTTTGCAGTAGGTCAAAGCTTACGTACAGAGAAGGAGTGGCCAGATTCTTTCTGTATGATCCGTCGAGCTGGAGGTCTTCCAGTAACATTAACATTGTCCTGTGTTTTTAAGGCCCACCCATAGAGCCTTCAGATTCCTGGAGGGTGGCAGCAATTACCAGTTTATCTGTCCTGGCAGCCGTAATTGTTTGCGGAGCCTTGCTCATAGGCATTCTAGTGCATCAATTCAGGTCCAAGAGGACTTTACGTGGTGAGATATTAACATTACAGCACATTTTTAGCAACAAACATTCTCCTTCAGAGCCGGACTCAGAACTAACTCAACTTTTTCTGTCCACAATTCAGAACCGATTGAAGAGACAACAGGACCCCTTTATCAAGTATAGGATCTTCATAAGGTAAGGGTTGAAAACTGCAACACTTCTTAGGATGCTTCGAAATGCGTTAAGGAAATTAGTTTTGTTCATATGCAATCTTTTAAATGTTTGCAGCTCGTGGAACTCAAGCTGACGAAAATGAAAATGGACTGTTACTCCAGTGAATTAATGCTCCAGTTGGTAAACGCTGGCTGGTACCTCAACCACAGAGTGTTCTATGAGTAGCATCTGATTTGTCTAACTTATTACATTAGTAGGCTATGTCATGCATAGCAAATGGTTATGCACAAAAGCTGCACTGAGACCTTCCTTGTCGCTCACTGTGCAGAATAGGTTTGCAAGCCTTGGTGCTAAGTGACATCCTATGGACAGCATGATAGCACTGTTTTTGCAGAAATTTGAGGCCATTCATGTTGCACTTAGTGCACTGTAGATGCATTCCCACTTGAATATTCCTTGTTAGATTTGTGAACACGATAAACAAATAACCACAAACCGTTTAATATAGTAGACTTAGAGATCAACTTTTTTACACAAATATGCCTCCCTAAACAGATTTAGTATGGCACAGCCATTTGAATGTATTTGTAATCATTGTTTGTACAGTTTAATTATCTATTTTTATAGTGTTGGAATACTACGCACTGTATAGATGTAGCCCTTTGTATAACAATGTTCTGACACCGACTGGCTCAGCATGGCATTGATGAACATTCTGGAGACACTGAAGACCAGCGAAGCAACAGAAGCCGATATCCTGAAAGACAAGAGTCGCCAGCTGACGTTAACAAACTCTCTGAGAAAGTGTCGCAGGTGTCAGATTCCATCTTAGTTTTGCTGCATTTATACGCATAAGAGATTAGATAGTTTAGAGTGATATTTACATACATGTATCGCAATACATTTAATCTCTCGTGTTTTATCATTTCAGCTTACTAAAATGTTTTGAAAGGATAAAATCACCAGTTTTAGATGCGTGTAGCCAGCTATGGGCATTAGGGAATGTATATATTTATATACAGCAGATGCTAAGGAGTAATTAACTTGTTTGAATGACTTAAAGCATGTTTAGCAAGAGGTTAATCTCATGAAACCTGTGAAGAACATGTCTGAGTAACATTTCAACCCAGAATCAAAAGAAATATTTTGCTTAAAGAATTTGTTGCATTGTTTTCAAGAAAACTAAGCACACTTTATACCCCAGTTCCCAAGAATACTTTATGTACCTCATTGTGAATCACTGCCATGTTTGTCAGAAATCTAGGAACATCAAGAAGCTAGTCCAGAATCTTGATAAACATAAACCTGTGAAGCATGCACGGCGCTGTCACAGTCTTAAGAAAAGTTGGTTGTGTATTTGTGCCTTTACTCATTCACAATTACGCCACAGACTGCAGAGGAAACTATGCATTTTAATACAATAAAGAGACAACTAATGTACTGTATTTGTCTGTTGATGTTTTGTTTCCTTAAATGTTTTTTGAAGTGTCTAATTTGCAGTAGTCACACTTTAAGACACAACGTGACAGCAGAATGATAAACCCATTGACTCAATTCTCATTTGCATATTCTAAAATAATCATATAATGCACTGCAACTGCAAGGAATTCAAGTGTTTAAACAAAGATATGATATAAGAAGGCTCAAAGAAGAAGCCAAAACACACCGCTATATTGGTTTTATTCAGTTCAAGAAAGTGAGGGCATCAACACCTACAAATAAACATCATCTGCTTATTAAGGTCACTACTTTAGAAAGAGAAACATTGATCATGTGAACAAAAATAAATATTTTATATTTAAGATATATGCAACTGATTACAGCGAGTCTCAGTTGTCAGTTTAAGTTTTCTCAAATGCAATGAAGCCATTAATACATGAAAGTTTGCAAATTCTACTCTTAAATAATCAGTAAGCACTGATCTATAGGCTTAAAAGGAAACCATCTTACAAATAATTTAACCCAAGTAGGGTGGTGATATGAAATGGCACACTGAAATTCAATCTGGCATCAAAGACAAAAGACAGAAGCACTGATGCAAGAAGCATCAAGCAAAATGTATTTTCTTACATTGCGTCTAGTAAGTTGCGAGACCTGAGCATTTAAAAAAAAAAAAACTGTTGAAAAGAGTTTAGTCTGTGAATTCCTGCCCTAATAGAGCCCGACCGATCATGGATTTCTTTTGGGTCCATTAGTTTTTTTGTGCTCCAAAATCTTGAACATACTTCCACTTCATAAAACATTTACTAGAAAAGTATGCGCTAAGAAAACTGAAATATTTCTGTTGTACTTTCAAATACGCTGTTGTGAATGCTTTTAAAGAGGTATTTCTTAAGTGTTTACAACCATTATCTAGAATACCTACATAATCGACCAATCTAGCATTTATCACACATTTAATACCATGCATAATGTGTACCACATTTAACAGTATTAAAGACAAGAAATATGCTTACATTTCAAATATTAATGTAAGGTATAAATAGTTCTATTTAAATAAATAAATATCTTTGAGATTTTCTACAAGACAGGCCTTAGTGAAGGTTGCTGTTTAACAGCCTTACCAGTGTCATCCATTATGAAACTGCAGGAACATCAAGAGTATGTTGGTCTTAATGAGACAATTACAGCACATCTACCATGAGCAGTACATTAACCTGAAAATATGGAAGCACTTAATACAAACATAATGAGAAGGATAGCATGTATCCCTTTTATTCCCATAATACCTTAAAAAAAAAGACCATAACAGCTTGTTTTGTTCCCCCTCTGATTACGCCAAATAATCGGTCAGGCTCTTGAAGGCAGCACTAGGTAAGAGTCTGAACAGAAATACTCATCCAAGCTCTCAGTCTGAGACCTATCATATTACCAAACAATTTGTGCACTGTGTGGGGACACAAAACAAATGAAATAAAATAAAAACCTAAAATGGTCTCTGACAGGCACTATCACTTATTCTAAAATGTCTACAGTATTACTGTCCCTACCAGAGGTAGTATTTTATCAATGCCAGTCTTAAGTGTCCATTAAAGAACAACATTTGAAAACACCCCAGTAAAGGAGGCAAGTCTTGCCAAGATTAGCATCTGTGTGCGACACCATCTGGACAAGTACAGCAGAAAACCTGATGTGGTACGATTATTGGCATTGGGCCTTGGGTGGAGAAAGAGTCTTGTAATAGAATATTGTTTTGAAATCTTCCCTTGAAGCGGCAAGATTGGAGTGTGGCCTTAGAGGAAAGGTTCCACGCCCAGTCCCATGAATGCATTATCATCCATGTTGAAGGAGGACTCATAAGTCTGTTGGGTATTCTGATGCATCTTCTGATGGTGCCGGAGGTTGGACTTGCTAGAGAAACGCTTGTCACAAAGGAGGCAGGAGAAAGGCTTCTCTTTGGTGTGGATGCGCCTGTGGCAGATAAGCTGGGTGGAGACCCGGAAGGCCTTGCCACACTCCAGGCACTGATAGCGTTTGGGTTCTGTGTGAATGCGCCGGTGATTCTTCAGCGCCATGAGATTGGTGAACTCCTTTTGGCAGACCGAGCAGAAGAAGGAGCCAGTCTTGTGGCTGTTCTTGTGGTTGAGCAGTGAACCAGCGTGGCGGTAAGTGCGCCCACAGTGCTCGCACACATGACTTTTCTCTTCCCTACCGTATCCCTCGCTACTTTCCCGCTGGTCTTGCAGCACTCGGCTGAAGGCTGAATCGATCTTAGGAAGGCTCTGAATTCCTATCTGCTGGTCTAGTGCCGAGTCCCAGCCTAAATCCTGCTGCATCTGCATACCTTGCTCATGGTGTGACTGCCCCTGCAAGCCGCCATGGAGCTCCTGGTGCTGCTGAAAACTAGCCAGGTTTGGGAAGTTCTGTTGACATATGTTGCAGTAATAGGGGAGTTCCTTACTATGCACCTCCATGTGGCTCTGCAGGTGTGCAAACTCACAGAAGGTTTTCCCGCAATCTGGGCAGCAGTGGCGAGCCATTTGAGAATGACTCTCTAAATCCAGAGGGTCCGTGAATGTTTTTAGGCAGAGAGTGCAGTGTAGGAGGTCAGTGGAATGAGTCTTCTTGTGGTTAAGAAGGGAACCGGCATGTCTATAAGAGCGTCCACACTGATCACACCTGTAACAAAGGAAAAGATTGGCATCAGATGACGGATAGGCAAGGATAGGTGTTCAAATAGCATTTAAGAAAAAAAATGACTCACGTATAGCATTTGTCCACACCGTCTTGATTTACAGTAGAGTTTGGATTGCCGTTTCGGTAACAGCGATGTCTCTTTAGCCCAGATTTTCCCTGGAAGCTTTTGCCACATGTTTGGCAGCTGTAACGAGTTATTCCTCGTGTATGGATTTTTTGATGATTGTAAAGGATACTGGAGAGACGGAAGGCTTTACCACAAGTAGGACAGACATACTTTTTCTTCTGCGTGTGAATGCGTGTGTGATTTCGTAAAGCCATGGGATTGGAAAAGGGCTTGGCACAGAAGGTGCAGGTGAAATGGCCTGTTTTGTGAGTGTTCTTATGGTTCAACAAGCTACCAGCGTGACGGTAACTGCGACTACAAATGTTGCACTTGAATGGTCGTTCTTCTTTTTCTAGGTCCGCACCATCGTTGTCACCATCTACATCTCCTAGGGGGACCGAATCAGGGGCAGTCTCTATACTACAGGTGTGTCCTTCAAGTAGTTCAGTATCTGGAAATACAAGACGGCACTGCTTGCAAGTCAAATTCTTTTCTCGTTTGTGGCCCCTGACCTTTCCTCTTGCTGCTGCATTTCTTTTCTTGGTCAAACAAGTGTGGTTGAGTAACTGTTTGTTTCCCCTGAAGGCCTTTCCACAGTCTTGGCAGCAGTGTCTTTTGACGGCAAAGTGTATTCGCAAATGATTCTTCATTGCTAGCTGGTTGGAGTAAGTGTTGTTGCACAACGCACAGTAATATTCACCTGTCTTGTGCGAGTTTTTGTGGTTGACCAAGCTTCCTGCATGTCGATAGCTTCGCCCACACTGATCACAGACAAAAGGGCGAGGGTCTCTGGGATCTCCCATCTGGCCCTCTTTTTCTTGGCTAGACTGATCACTGTTAGAGGTCTGCCGTTGCTTGTGGCGTCTGCTCATTCTCTTTTTGCTGGAATTAAGTGCCTGCATTCCACTCCCTGAAGCATTCCCACTCATCTGCATGAGGGTCTGAATTTGTTTGTTGAGCTCTTCAATCTTAGCTTTGTTTTCCTGATGTACCCTCTGGTGGTTCAACAGTTGTTTATAGATTTTGAATGCTTTCCCACATTCTGTGCATCTATGCCTGGCAGAAAAAGAAAACGATCAGAAAAAAAAAAAAAAAGAACTTGACTGTAAAACAATATAGAGAAGTATGACCTATACAAGAACTTTTTTCAAAGCAATCCAATTCTGAAGTTCAATATGAATTTTTTTTTTTTTTAAATACTTACTTTTTAACATCAAAGTGTGTCCTCTGGTGATTCTTGAGAGCCAGCAAATTATAAAAACGCTTTTGGCAAACAAAGCAGCGAAACACTCCAGTTTTGTGAGACTTCTTATGATTGAGTAATGATCCAGCATGTCTGTACGAACGACCACATTGGTCACACTTGTACTGGCGCTCTCCATCATGTGGACTCGCCTGCAAAAGTTCTCGTTGAAATTTACTTTTAAGAAGTGATTTCTCCCCACATTTCTCCTCCACTTGTCCATCTCGTTGTCCTGTGCAGTTGTGGTTATTGAGGTGATTAATATCGCTGCAGCTTATGCCACATTTCCCACAAATAATACTTTCCATTTCTACTTTTGGTTTGAGCTCATTCTGGTGGTTGGTTACAAATTGTTCTTGTGGATTACTTTCTATATTGCTATGCAAGAGCTGGTGGGCTTGTAGGTCTTGTTTCTTTGTAAAGCTCTCTCCACAAGTGCTGCAGATAATCAGACTGCAGTCACCCTGCTGATTTTCACTCGGTTCATCTTTCTTAACCTCTAGAGAAGACAACAATGATGGGCCACATGCTGAAGGTGCGCCATGAGTTTGAGTATGACCTCTGAGATGGCTTCGCAGTGCACGCATGCTAGTATAGTGATTCCCACACACTGAGCACTGATACATCTCTCCATCATCTTCTTCTTCATCGTCTTCACATTCAGCTTCACTGTCACTCATCTCACCATGAACATTGTCATGAAAGGTCTGCTGTCTAAAATAGGCCTCTGATGCACTAGCATTGTGTCCCTCAAAACCAACATCTTCCCCTGACTCTCCTAAGAAATGTTGATGCTTTGTGTTGTGAAAGTCCATGTGACCAGGTGAGCCGTTCATCATGGTCTGATACTGCTGATTCAGGAGGGGACAAATGTGTGACTTGATTCCTGCAATATCAGTAAATGTTTTACCACAGTCAGCACACATGTGCCTCTCCATGAGGTGTTCATCCTGAGGTAGGTGCTCATCTGAGAAGGAATTGTCAAACTGCTCATGAAATTCAGAAGCATTCGTCTCATTCACATGCTCCTCATCGGATTTATGCTGCACAGAGTCTACCAGGTCCTGAGGAAGGCCTAATATTCCACTTACATCTTCCTCATGTGATTGAAAACAGTTCTGTTGGTTCTCGTGTGTCAAGGGCTCTGAGGAAAGCCAATCACCCTCAGAACTAGCAGGCAAAGATGCGGGCCTTCCCTTATGGATCCGAAGGTGGCTTCGCAGAGCCGCCAAATGTAGGTAGTTCTTGCGGCAGATGGAACACTGAAAGATCCCGGTTTGATGGGACCGTTTGTGATTTATAAGACTGCCTGCATGCCTGTAGCTTTTGCCACAGATGTGGCACTTGAATCTGCGATCAGAACTGTCAGCATCTTCTACTTTGATGTTATCAGTACCCTGTGCTGAACAATCAGGGTTGAGGTTTTCTGATGGTAGGGCCATTGGCTGTCCCTGAGCATGTAGAGTCAATGGATTTTCATCTAAAGAGTTGGGTAGATAAATATGACCATTTTCCAATGGCCCATCTGCTTGGGAATATTCAATAGCTTTATTGAGTAACGGGGGCAATGGTGGAGTGTCACTAGAGGGGGGATAAGGATTAGACTCTGGGGAATGAGTAACACTATCATTGTAAGAAAAATTGTGCTCCTCTGACAAGTTAGTAGGGAGCTCAAATGACACCGAGGAGGAGTTATGCAACAGAATGTGATTTTGAAACTCATCATCATTAGCAAAAGCAACCTGACAAAGGTGACAAAAATGTATATTAGCATCACCATTCTGTGGCATAACATGAGGGGCAAGTTCTTGCTTGCACACTGTGAGGGCAGCTTTAGAGGTTTGCACACTGAGACGACCTCGGGTTTTACTGTGGATTCGCTGGTGACTATTAAGTGCAGCAAGATTATTGAAATGTTTAAAACAGACTGGACACTCAAATACCCCCATTTGATGAGTTTTCTTATGATTTATGAGGCTGCCATGATGTCTGTATGTCTTGTCACACAAGTCACATTTGAACGGCCTGTCTCCAGCATCATCTTCAGCTGCCATGTCACTTTCTGTGGTGGTGTTTGAAATGTGTTCTGACACGGCACCATTACTAAGGCTGCTCATTGGAGCAATATTTAGCTTCATGTCTGGCTGCAAATCTGGTATCATGTCAAAATCCATCTCGTCTAGATGCAGCAACTCATCATCTTTATAATCACTTTCAATAAGACTATTTGCAGAATCCTTTGTCCTGATTTGAGACTCTTTATTGCGATGGACCTTTTGATGGGTGACCAGCTGAGTTGCAAGGCGAAAAGCCTTTCCGCAATCGGTGCAAGAATATTTCTTTCTAGATGTGTGGATGCGCAGGTGGCTTTTGAGAGCCAATGCATTGGAGAGCTTCCTGGAGCATATATGACACTGAAAAGAGCCAACCTCGTGTGTTTTTCTGTGGTTAGCCAAGCTGCCAGCATGTCTGTAGCCTCGTCCACATTCATCACATTTGAACTTCCGTTCCTCTTCCGACTGATGAAAAGTGTCTGTATGCTCCAAAAGACTGGGCATGCTTGCACATACTACACCACAATGTCTACACGAAAAGCCTTTGGTCCGGCCTGGCTCTTGCATAGCTATAATGGTATAGTATAATCATAAGAAATGTCAACAAGAGCCAGTTTGAATGACTGTGAGGGACAAACCTGTCCTTGCTATTATCAAATTGGCTTGTTTGAAGAGGTGTAAAGGCAACATTCAAAACATTAACTGAGAATACAGTCCGTTCCATTCCATTGGAAAAATGTCATTGTGAAGATTATGTAAGCGCAGGCACTGGATGAAATCTGTAACAGGAAAACCCATACATTATTTACCATTAAGTTCACATAAGGCAGTTGCATAACAAGAAAGTCAATAATGATGAAAAGCTAACATTAACATTGCTTTCTAATGAGACCAAGTCTTGACAAAAAGCTCTGAGTTTACATAACCCATGAGTAACCAAATAAAAGGAAGTATTCTAACATTACTATAAAATAAAAATCTGCACTGGTTTACAAGGGAAATGCATGCAAAACTGAAGATTCTATCTTCAGTCTTTAATCTTCATATGACTTTCTTTCCGTATGACAGTCTCAGTCAATATTCACTTTTATTGTATGGACTAAAAATGTAATAAAAGGAAATGCTGTCTGAAGCTGTCATTCTGCCTGACATCTCCTTTAATGCTGTTAGAAGAAAGTCCTACAGGGTTGGAATGTCATGAGGGTGAGTAATTAGGAATTTGGTATAAGGTAAACCGATTCCTCTAAAAGGTCAAAGGTCTCTATTATTGTTACCATTTTAATAAATTATTAATTTATTAAATTATTTTAAACAAAAATCAATTAAAACAGAAACAGAACTTGGGACAAAATAAGATGGATTTCATTGGATAAATAGTGACTTTTCTTTTCTGGGTGAATTGTCACTTTAATAAACACTTTTTATATGTTCACATTAAAAAGTGTTCATTAAGCACACAAAAAACACACTTTTTTTATACAAGCAACGATTAAACCAACTTGGACGTTATATATAAAACCAAAGTACATGCAGGGGTTTTTATATCCATTCAAAGCTATTTACCATCAATCATGAAGCCTTTAGTCAGCTCCAGTTTTTAATCTTATTTATATCTTATTTTAAAACGCTATTCAATAAAATAAAGCTTATACAGTGTATCTGTCTGGATCTGACAGTATCATTGATCTCTAATGGATTTTAGGTAGAATTTATATAGATGAGTGGGCAGCTTGAAGGATCAACTCACCCAACAGCAGTTAGGTGACAGACTGCCTCACACAATGGAGCTCTATTGACACAGTAAACACTTGCCAGTACATTAGCCTAACAGCTAGCAACACAAGCACAATTTTGATAATTTTAATAGTCGTATAGCCGTGGTCTAAATGAATATAGTAGACAGATTGCCCTTGAGTTGAACTGAATAAAATATGTATTAGTCAGTAGCATCCCATCCCGTTGCAGGTGACAGACTGCCTCACACAATGGAGCTCTATTGACACAGTAAACACTTGCCGAGTACATTAGCCTAACAGCTAGCAACACAAGCACAATTTTGATAGTTTTAATAGTCTTATAGCCGTAGTCTAAATTAATGTAGTAGACAAATTGCCCTTGAGTTGAACTGAATAAAATATGTATTTGGGAGAGGCAGTAGCATCCCATCCCGTTGCGAGCTAGTTAGCATTTGACGGCTAGAATCTACGGCTAAAACTAACCCACTAATACGGCAAAAAAGACGATAGGAATATACATACTGAATGTTGCAGTCTCCCTGTGTGATGTTGGCGCATGTAATGTTGGCACTCCGTTCACTTTATTTTAGTTTCAGGACGGGCGTGTTCGTCCCCCTTTCTACCAATTGTCTTTTCCACCATCCCACTCGACTCACTTCCTGCTCTTGTTGCTAGGAAACAGGAAATGTGCATCAGCGAAAAACGTCCGTACGTTCAAATCTTAAGAGGTGTTTTCTGTAACAACATATTTTCATTCGAAAACTTATTATACTTATATTATTTCTACTCTCTCCGCCAGTTCCTATTGGAATAATTTAATAGCATGAACTACATGAAGTTTAGTAACTTACCCGCTTTTCCCAAAACGTTTGCTCACTAGTGACCATTAATGTTTTATTTTTGTAATATATAACCACAAATTTGTGCAAACACAGCAATTGGCACTCTTACATTATATGTATATAATTAAATATTATTCAGCTATCAGTACTTCTTGGAATTTGTTCCACCCATTACGTTATATTTTCGAAGCCTCGTTTTTGTTTGTTCGTTCATTCTTTAATGTTGTCATTAATGTTAATAACAGCTTGTATTATTAAAAATGCACAATTCCACTGTATTTGTCAACTCTTTAAATAAATCTATTGCAAATACACAGTTACTAGAACCAGTTAACCGCACTATAATTTTTTTGCCAATTCACATTTTGTTATGTAACTTTATATGCACAAAACAACTGCACATCCACGTACATTGAAGTGAGCATACATAATTTCCCCTCCCACAGACTCTCTCCCCACCCCATTCTATCCCACTCACCATGCACTCTAGTCCATAGAAACACCGTAGCAAGAACACCAAAATAGCAGAGGCATGACAGCGTTTTAATTTAAGAGAAATTCAGATCATTTTGTAGACATTCCCCAGGTGGTGAGTGAGGAAGTCATGAAGGCTCACATCTCTGCGTTCACTGGGTAATTTCGTCGTGGTCCTAAAGCCGCCGACCTTCTCCTGAGATTGATCAATTTGCTATTCATTGTCAAAGACACACGTCTCTCCGGAGAGCACAAAAGGTACGTAACGTAAATCACATTTTGTAAGCATACTAAAAAGATAAAAAACGATAACATTTAGTTATGCAGCGATTATAATGAAGTGACAAGCGACTGCAAATCGCTTCGCATGTTCAGCGGTCCTAAAGCCAGCCATTTTGTGTTATGGTGCAAGCTAAAAGAGCAGTTGTATGCTTTGAAGACATGTTCATTGGCTCTTTGAATTACCACTCTATTGTATTCGCATTGCTTCTATTTGGTCATGGTCGTTATGTTAAATTTCTGTTAACATCGAAATGTAATTCAGTTTTGTACACGAGTAGCTCAGATGCCAACTTCCTTTGAGAACAAGAGCTTCTTTCCTAATTGTCCCTGAGGTCCTAATGCCGGCCATTTTGTGCTGCCTGCGCCTGCCCCATCCCAGCGTATTTAATTTTTTTAACAAAATATTCACCATGGTTTTTGCCAAAATATTACATACTAGTTTTATTTATATACACTGTATGTTATATACATCCTATACTAAATACTACATGCTAGTTACTACAGTTATTGTTCCTATAATAAAGTCTGTCATTAATTACTACCTTCATGTTGTTCCGAACACGTAAGACCTTCGTTCATCTTCAGAACACAAATTAGGATATTTTTGATGAAGTCTGAGAGCTCTCTGAGCCTGCATAGACAGCAACGCAACTGAAATGTTCCCAGACCTAGAAACATAGTAAGGACATCAGTAAAACAGTCCATGTGACATCAGTGGCTCATCACCAATTTTGCGAAGCTACGAGAATACTTTTTGTGCGCAAAGAAAACAAAAATAAAATCTTTATTCAACAATTCTTCTCCCCCGAGTTACCATCTTCCGTCATTTTTGAGAGTAGCACAACGCATGCATGCGCTTTCTCCTGAATGTAATCAGCGCATACGTCGTGCTACTCTCCAAAATGGCAGAAGACGGTAACTCGGGGGAGAAGAATTGTTGAATAAAGTCATTATTTTTGTTGAGCCACTGATGTCATATGGACTGTTTTACTGATGTCCTTACTACGTTTCAGGGTCTGGGAACATTTCAGTTTCATCAAAAATATCCTAATTTGTGTTCTGAAGATGAACGAAGGTCTTACATGTTTGGAGCGACATGAGGGTGAGTAATTAATGAGAGAATTTTAATTTTTGTGTGAACTAGCCATTTAACTTAAATTTGCCTTCATTGTCATAAGATATAAAATATACTAAATGATGGAGGAAAATGCATTTTTAAAAGAAAATTAACAGTAAGTGTAGTATTTAATATATTTTTCCTAAAAAAAAAAAGAATAAAGTTGGAACAAAGAGTAACTTATAACAGCAAAGAATACAAGTGACAAAAAATGTAAGTAAAGTAAGGAAATGAACTCTAAATTAAATTATAACACAAATTCAAGGCACTCATTGTGTATTTTGTTGTTCTCTCCAGCATCATCAGAATGGCTTCACCCCAACCAGGTAGCCCACCAACCGCAGAGCAGTATACACCACCGCCTTCTGAGACAGAGCCCAACAAAGAACCAGACAACTCATCAGAACAACCTACGAAAAGAAGAGGCAAAGGGAGACCGCCAAAAACTTTGCACACTTTTAAATGCTCGACCTGTCAGGAGGTCTTTACCAGCCCTTCAGCTCTACAAAGCCACAAGCTGTCAGTACATGGTAAAGACAAACAGCAGCAGTACACCTGCGGTAAGTGCACAAAGACGTTCTCCAGCCGGGCGCAGCTTTCCAAGCATCAGCGCTCCCATTCTGCTCAGCGTCCATTCCAGTGCCCACACTGCCATAAGGCTTACAAGACTCCAACGGAGTTACGCAACCACAGCCGTTCACACACAGGAGAGAAACCGTTTGTTTGTTTTGACTGTGGCAAGGCATTTATGCAGGCCATTTGCCTGCGTATCCACATGACGCAGCACAGTGGCGAAAGGCCTCACTCTTGCCCTCATTGCTCTAAGAGTTATCCCACACTATCCAAACTCAAAGTGCACCAACGATCACACACCGGGGAGAAGCCTTACTTTTGTTCCGAGTGTGGGAAGAGTTTCGCCGACCCTTCGGTGTACCGCAAGCATCGGCGTAATCACCAAGGCCACCGGCCGTATTCTTGTGGCCAGTGTGGCAAAACGTACACGGAGCTGAAGGACTTGAAGAACCATGAGCGTTCGCACACGGGCGAAAAGCCTTACCTGTGCTCGGACTGCGGCAAAGCCTTCTCCCGGTCGTCCTCTTTGGCGTGCCACTTGCGAATCCACTCCAAGAGCAAGCCGTATCAGTGTGAACAGTGCGGCAAAGGTTTTACTCAGCTGTCCTCGTACCAGTCCCATCTTCGTACCCACTCGGGTGAAAAACCCTTCTTGTGTCCACAGTGCGGCAAGATGTTCTCCGATCCCTCTAGTTTCCGCCGACATCAACGGGCGCATCAAGGATTCAAGCCATACCCTTGTGACAAGTGCACTAAGAGGTTTCGGCAGCCTGCGGACCTTGCGGTGCATCAGCGTGTGCACTCGGGTCAGCGGCCCTACAAATGCCAACGCTGCGATAAAGCATTCGTCGCTTCTTGGGATCTGCGGCGCCACATGCTTGTTCACTCCGGTCTGCGGCCTTTTTCTTGCACCGAATGTGGCAAGTCCTTTACGGAGCGCTCTAGTCTGAACAAGCACAGAAGGGTGCATTCAGGGGAGCGGCCTTACAAATGCCAGCTGTGCTTCAAGTCGTTTGTTGTGTCATCCAGTTTGCGCAAGCATGAGAGGACACACTTGTCCGAGAGGCCGTTACAGGTCCAGGCCGCTCCTGAAACGGCTCAGATGTTTCCCACCACCCTGCCTCAGTTCTCCTGCTCTCACTGTGATATGATATTTGGAACATGGGAGGAAGTGCAGGCCCATTCCAGCCTACACACTATCTCTCCCCCATCTGATTCTACGGTTTTGGCTTTACCTATTGGCCCATACATTTGTGTGATCTGCCAGGCAGAGTTTGTTCAGCTGGCTGATATGCAGGCACACGAGAAACTGCACCCCAAGCCACGACCTCACGTTTGTGACCAGTGCGGTAAGGGTTTCCTGAATAAAGCCGGGCTTCGTAAACACCAGCGCATCCACTCGACCAGTCGGCCACATTGCTGCGCTGTTTGCGGAAAGGCTTTTCTTTTCGCCGCCTACCTTCGCAAACACTTACGCACCCACCGCGACACTGAGTCCTCATCCTCCCTGCCTCAGACAGATATAGTGCACAGCCAACCCCTGCCATTCCCACCAAGTGCTGCGTCACCGTCGGGATCCGAGCCCACCGCTATTCCTCTGACTGTTCCGGAGACTGTGCCGGTGTCGGCATTTCAGACAATGCCAGCCCATGTGTATATAGACAAGAAAGAGGGGCTCTGAACTTATTGCTGACTGTGTCGGCTGCTTTGAGAGAATCTTGCAAAAAGCCTGAAAATCAATAAAATCTCATTTTTAAATAGTATAAAATGCTTCAGTGCATAAATAGCCACAAAATAATGTCTTTAATTTACCTTGATATTGTACAAAAATGTATTTCTCTTTAGAAATGTGCCAAGATTGCTGAGAGGATTTAAATTTTTAAGGTATGTCTGAATCGAAGAGTCAGTTAATGGTTCTCCTCAGTGTCATAATCGCATTTAATTTAATATGTCATGTTTATACACATGAAATCAGTGTAATATTTGAATTCTGATTTGAATCACAAGACCTTACTTATTTAAATCACATTTTTTTTCTCCATCAACAGACTAAGTTTATACTGTATTTTATTTTTCTGAAGTTTAAACAGCTGTTATTATTTGAGTGTTTTTTAAAGGCAACAAGCCAGTGTATGTGGTGGTAAATATTACCGTAATTACTTTTTGGACATAATATATTGCTTTTATGCTGTACAACTAAACAATATTGCCTCTTGTTCTTCTTTATATGTCCTAAAGCAAAATTGTACTTCATGGATTTTTGACAGTTTGGTGTAGTGTAATATTTATGACTTGAAAAATCATTTATAATACCAGTCACAAATTTGGACACATTGATTAAAGGAGTGTTTTCTATTATCTTAAAAATGTTTAATCTAGTTTTGTAGACACAAAGATATGACTTTCTTTACAATATATTTTTGTCATTAAATAGGTGAATATGCCTAGATAGTGAAAGAAAGAAGCCGACAGTTCCAATTTCATAGTTTTGATAACTTTATTGTTTTTTTATTATACATGTGGAAAATAGTAATTAAATTAGTATTAGTAAAAAATAAATTAAAAAATGGCAGGTTTGTCAACAAATTTTTAACTAGTGGTAGAGTATGCCATTAAACTAACATGTCATTTAAATTCAGTTTGGAATATCATCTAAAGTAAAGGGGTTTGAGCTGTAAACATTTAACATTTGAAGTGTGTAAAAAAATAGATATTATTATTATAAGACAAATACAGATAGGTTTTGGACAAAAACTACTAGAGATCTTGTATTAACCCTAAGTAAAGAAAAAAAAACTGGATAAATGTGAGAAACCATTTTTGATGACGCGTACAGTTACAGGCTATATATTGAGTGAAGCTCAAAATTCTCAACAACTCTCAAAAACTCAACAACTTCAGCACCGGACAAACACACAAAACCTTCGTTCCCTAAAAAGGTACGTTTGGTTCATGTTCTTTAAACAAAATATCCATACTGCTTTTTGAAATCATGTTGATGTATCTCACAATGTACCAAATATTTTAAGCAGATATCTGTAATATAACTGAAAATTCTCCCTTTTTTTTGTACAGATACGTTCTTTATTTCCATAAAGAAGACAAATCCACCCTAGAGAGCGATGGCAGCGATAGTTACCGGGCTCATCCCAATCCTCCGCACTGCAGTGGACTCCACTGCCACCTATAAAGGTCGCACCATGTGGTTCGGTTTGCTCTGCATCCGCCTAGTGACCGTCTTTCTGGCTCAGTTTCCATGGAAAAGCTTAAATGAGGATTTCCACTGTAACAGCAATGACTCCTTCTGCATTAAAGCTTGTTTTAATAAACACTTCGACAATTCTATAGTGATGGCGTGGCATTTCCTCTTTATCCTACTTGTGCTCTCGGTCCTTCTCATGGAGATGTTTTCCTCCCATATTCGATCTTCATTCCAGAAGAAGGAGAGAGAGATGGCATCTCAAAGCGAGCAGGGAGCTGTCACTGATCCCACCATGACTGTTGGTGGTAGGATGATGATAGACCTCCACAAAAGCAAAAGCAGTGTGGTGGTGTACCTGTTCAGCATCATGCTGCGAATTGCAGTGGAGGTTTTGTTCGTGTACGTCTTGTTCTGCTGGGTTCTACCTAAACTGAATGAAGAGTCATACCTTTGTTATGCACAAAAGTTTGGTAAATGTTCAGTACAACAATGTGTGGTCCGAGGGGCAGCAGAAAAGAGAATGTCTGTCTATGCGTTACTGTTTATGTCTGCCCTGGTAATTATAACAAGTGGCCTGTTCTGTCTCTACTCAATAAGCCACTATCTCTGTAATGGTTAACAAAAGGTTTCCATTTAACACAAGCATAGTAAGTAGCTTTAATGCATCTGTATATAAATTGTGTTTTTTTTCTCTTAAATGCTTTTTTTATGGCTTACAGATGAATATTGTGAACTGTATTGACTGTATTTTAATTCAGTCTGATTGAAATTGCAAGTTTAAATGTACCTTTGCAATAAACCAAGAACAAAAAATAGTTAAGGAGATGCTTTTTGGCTCTGTGTGGTGTTTCTGTGTTTGCATTTTTGTGTTTGGTCTGGGTGAGAAGTCATTTTTGTGTGAATGCTGACTGAGCTGTTTTGTTGTAGAGTTCAGCTGTTGTCCTTGTCAAACCTCTGACAATGTACAAGAAGATAAAATGTTTTAGAAAACACAAAGAATCATCATTGTTTTTTGTTTTGCTGGCCAGAGTTTATTTCTTTATATTATTCTCTACTTACATTTACATATATTAAATTAAATTAATAACTATGATAGCTGTATGTTTTGAACATTTTATGTAGCATGAGATAAAAACAGATCATTGTAAAATATATTTGGCTGATGGAGCAGATCAGTTGCAGAGATTTGTGTTGCAGCACACTTTCTCCACCTGAGGAGGCACCTGAGCATCACACTCATTAGTTTTGGCACATCTGCGCACCTCACCGTCTACAAAAAGAAATGCAGAATAGTTTTCACAAATTAAATAATACTCACAACAAATCATCGCACTCCATCAACTGATGCAACTAAATCTCAGTTTACACATCCTATTTTTTATCAGTTTCAACATCTGAGGAAAAGAATATGGTCAACTCACAGGCTGGATGACGCATTTTGATTGTAATGCAATTGTCAAAACCACTGCTGCATTCTTTCACCTCTATCTCATTACAGGTGGGATGGTCTCTGTCAATCTTCTGGCAGTAGTTGCACCTCAGTGCCTGGGCAACTAATGAGATCACAATTTTGAAATCTTTGTTATAATTTTGATTAAAAAAAGTTTCTGTTCTGTTCTGAATTCATTATAATGCTCTATTATATATATATGTGTGTGTGACCCTGGACCACAAAACCAATCTTAAGTCACTGGGGTATTGCAAGTTTAAATGTACCTTTGCAATAAACCAAGAACAAAAAATAGTTAAGGAGATGCTTTTTGGCTCTGTGTGGTGTTTCTGTGTTTGCATTTTTGTGTTTGGTCTGGGTGAGAAGTCATTTTTGTGTGAATGCTGACTGAGCTGTTTTGTTGTAGAGTTCAGCTGTTGTCCTTGTCAAACCTCTGACAATGTACAAGAAGATAAAATGTTTTAGAAAACACAAAGAATCATCATTGTTTTTTGTTTTGCTGGCCAGAGTTTATTTCTTTATATTATTCTCTACTTACATTTACATATATTAAATTAAATTAATAACTATGATAGCTGTATGTTTTGAACATTTTATGTAGCATGAGATAAAAACAGATCATTGTAAAATATATTTGGCTGATGGAGCAGATCAGTTGCAGAGATTTGTGTTGCAGCACACTTTCTCCACCTGAGGAGGCACCTGAGCATCACACTCATTAGTTTTGGCACATCTGCGCACCTCACCGTCTACAAAAAGAAATGCAGAATAGCTTTCACAAATTAAATAATACTCACAACAAATCATCGCACTCCATCAACTGATGCAACTAAATCTCAGTTTACACATCCTATTTTTTATCAGTTTCAACATCTGAGGAAAAGAATATGGTCAACTCACAGGCTGGATGACGCATTTTGATTGTAATGCAATTGTCAAAACCACTGCTGCATTCTTTCACCTCTATCTCATTACAGGTGGGATGGTCTCTGTCAATCTTCTGGCAGTAGTTGCACCTCAGTGCCTGGGCAACTAATGAGATCACAATTTTGAAATCTTTGTTATAATTTTGATTAAAAAAAGTTTCTGTTCTGTTCTGAATTCATTATAATGCTCTATTATATATATATGTGTGTGTGACCCTGGACCACAAAACCAATCTTAAGTCACTGGGGTATATTTGTAGCAATAGCCAAAAATACATGGTATGGGTCAAAATTATAATTTTATCCTGCCAAAAATCATTAGGATATTAAGCAAAGATCATGTTCCATAAAGATATTTTGTAAATGTCCTACTGTAAATATATCAAAACTTAATTTTTGATTAGTAATATTAATAATATGCATTGCTAAGGACTTCATTTGGACAAATTTCAAGGCAATTTTCTCAATATTTAGATTTTTTTGCACCCAGATTCCAGATTTTCAAATAGTTGTATCTCGGCCGAATATTGTCCTATCCTAACAAACCATATGGAAAGCTTATTTATTCAGTTTTCAGATGTTGTATAAATCTCAATTTTAAAAAATTGATCCTTATGGTTTTGTGGTCCAGGGTCACATATATATATATATTACCCAGTTTATTGTAATGACAATGTTTTTGAAAAAGTAAAAATTGTTTCCCACTTACCACAGAGGGCACCTAAAAACATGATCAGAACCAATGTGCGGGATCCCATCTTTGTGTCTTTATCAAACTGACAGTAATAAAAAAAAAATTTAATGATAATGAATGAATGTGTGTGTCTGTGTGTGTGTCTGTGTGTGTGTGTGTGTGTCTGTCTGTGTGTGTATATATATATATATATATATATATACAGATCGATATATATAAGACTAAAAGTACTGTAAAAATAGTCTGACAATATCCTTCTTACCTTCTTAGTCTGTAGTGTTGCTCTGGAATTAATGAGGGAGATGAGCACAGCATGTACATATACGATACCTGATAACAAGTGTACTGTCCTCCTCCCTGCCCTAACAATAACTTGCTACGGGGTATTACATGTCCCATGTACCATTTAGATCCTCAGTTTAAATAAACACATAAATGCATTCATTATGACATAAACAAAATCAACTTTATAATGTCATTTTTTGTTTTATTTCCATTTAGCAACAGCAGTTTTATTACAATTACCCTGTTTTTCAAAGTGTATTTACACAATTTACTTAAATTTATATACTTTAAATTCAAATATTTTTAAAAGCCTTGTTGTACCACTTGTTGTCACCTTACATAAAAAAAACTAAATATATTTAAGGACAATTTCAGTTTTAATATTTTGCATGTAAAATACAACATTATCGCACACATTGCCTCAATATTGAGGTCATTTGCTTTGTGTGCACAACAATGGTGAAATATTATACTGTCCCACCCTAATGTTTTTCTCACATACTGGCTAAACTGAACAAATGAGAACATTCTTAGTCACATGCACATATTTTGAAAATTAAGAAATAAACGTTTATATCCTTTAAATATTATATGAACAGGTTCAAATTATTTGTACTTTTTCATAAACAGATAAAAACACATAGCATCTGAATAACAAGGAAAATCAACAAGTGACTGCCTTTTGAAGAAACAATATCTGTATAAAACAATCAAATACAGAAAAATAATAATCTCATAAAAAACACATCAGCAAAACATCAAATATATGAATGACAGAAAACAAATACTTGACTTTTTTCCCCCTCACTGATCCTGGTCATCTTAGTGGAGAATTGTGTTGTAATCCACAGAACCCTCTTTATACAGACACATCGAAAGGATCATACCACATATCTGCAAAGAGGATGAAAGATATTTTTCCATAAATTAATCATCCATGGTTCAACCTCAGTTAACCATTAATAATCTACCTTTAGCAATGTACTAAATTTACTATTCTGGTCAAACACTGCAGATTCAAATGTTAGGACCAAGCCAATGGATGAATCTTCACACCACACACTAGGCTACTATTATAACAGCTCAATAAATCTACCTTGCCAGTATTCCACAGTGAAATCTCTGTGAGGGGAGATATAATTAAAAGTAACCACTGAGGCCTTTGTACAATCATATTTTGTGACTCCGAGCTCACAAAACAAAAAATACAGTCACACAGTTAGAAAGATTGTAAGAAAAGGTACAGCTAATACAGCGAAATGTCTAGTCTGAGAAACAATATTATGCAAAACAATACTATGGTTGTCCACACCAAGTAGAATCATGCATTAATGTTACTTATTGCACATCGCTCTAGAATACTTGCTTCTGATTAGTCAATTGTAGCAGTCAGAAGTCAAAGGATCTTTTTGGCCCATGAAATTTCACTAATTTGACTGCTCTCTCTTGTTTTAAACAAATGCAACTAATGCAATCTTACGTCTCAGTAGCTGATTGTAATAAAAATGGAGAACCTCAAGTTCTTTAAGTTCTTCTTACTGCTAGGCCGACTGGTTTGCAATTGATAATATACAGATAAGATTATAAAACAATTTTGAAGCAATATTTCATGTCCAACTATTTATTTTTTAGGTGAGGAGCTGTGTAATAAGTAATGTCTACTCAATATTTCAAAATAAGCTCCTTAAGGCTGCAATACAGTTTGTTAAGTTTGTAGTGTCTTGTATTCTGGTAGTGTGTGATCCACATTCATTTAGTGTATGATGTTGTCCAGTTTTTCTCTGTAACCGTACAAAGTTGGCAAGTGTAGTGTTTTAAAATCTGTTCAGATTTAAAATTTGTGTAGTGTATTCCAGCCTTTAAGGACGATACAAGACTGACATTATTTCAGCATGCAAAAATGAGGCACTCAGACACACTACACTAGTCACAAACTGAGACCTGGACAGCTGAACATGATTGCCATGTGACTCTCTAGGGCAGCAACGGTGTGTGCGATTAAGGCAACAGTAAGATACAAGGCATATCCACTGAAGACACTATGAGACAGAACACCATTTTACTTTGTTTATTCTCATTAACTTTAAGTTAGGACAGTAAAGGGTTATAGTTATTTGGATTGTCTGAATCGGGTCTAAAGTGTTTGGTGACAGCTTGCTTACCTCCACCACAGAAATGGACAAAATAATCACGAAAATTATGAGAAGATTTTCATCCAGCCATTCCTTTATATTCTCACTGCAACCCTTTGAGAGAGAGAAAAGAGTGTGATGTGTGATGTTGGAACACAATTTACCCCAAAATAATTACAGGGCAGAACTGAAACCATACCTGATTATAAATCCCACAGGTGTAATTTGAAAGGGTACCATTTGAGAAACATTTGAAACATTTTTGATCTTTTAT